AGAGAGAGAGAGAGAGAGAGAGAGAGAGAGAGAGAGAGAGAGAGAGAGAGAGAGAGAGAGAGAGAGAGAGAGATGGAAAGCAGTTGTGGGTGCGGGATGAGGTTCTTTCTTTTGCTTGTTTGTATAATTTTGGTTTCTGCTATGGCCGATTTCTGTCGCGGCCTTTTTTTACCCTTCCTTTTAAATCATCCCGAATTTTCTTTGTCGCTTTTCCCTCGTATGTATGCATGAATGGGTGCGAACTCTTTTTCATTAATGATCTTTTCGGATTCCTGATCTTGTTTTTCGATGCTTGTCTAATTCTATCCTCCATCTGCATCTGATCGAAAGCATCCCTTACGGATGTTTGGGTTTTTATTACTGGTTCTTGATCGTCATAAAGCCACCAAGAACGATGTGAGATGTTGATTGTCCTTTCCCCCTTTTTCTCTCCTTTCCGTCACGTGAATGGTAGGGATATGAATGAAACATTTGGATCTCACCCCACATAGCATGAGTGGGATAGTTGCATGTAGGATACAACCGATATCGTGACACAGGAAACTCGAGCCTGATTCACTGCCGCTCGTGTGCACGCTCACGTATGACCGTGCTCTCGAAAAATCAAGTCGCTATGCACGTGCACGTGTGCATGAGCCAACCTCAAATTTACCGTAAGGATGCGGAAAATCGCATTCATTAGCCAGATATGGCTGACGGAAGTCCCTTTTGAATCACCGATAGTGAAAACCTCAGGGATCCGGAGTATCGCGAGTACTGGGAAGGCGAGCAACTCAGACAATGGGGAAACTTGAGAAACCCAGAATTCCCCTGTCTGACAGAGAACGACCGATTGTGCGCAAGGGAATTTCCACTGGGCTATAACCCACGACCCTAGGGGCCCAGATTACCCAGATACGGATAATACTCAATACTACATATTATCCCCAGGCTTCGTCGTTATTACCACCAGCTTCCCACCCTTCCATCTCCTCCTTCCATACCACCAGCTCACAGTGGTACCGTGGAATTCCATAGCTCGCTATTGACCCAGCCCACCGTGCGAGGACTGCCAGCAGTACCAAGCATGTCGGGCCTCGGGATCTACCCGACAAACTCGAACCGAAGCTGAGCAGCGATTGCACAGTCTTCGTCTACGACCCGCCCCGTCGGACTCCGAAGCTTGTTACGAGCGACGCCGACAGCAGCACGACAGCCACGGTGTCCCACCAATCCACCAGACCAGGGACCGACCACGGCGACGCAACTGGCCGAGGCCATAGCCCCCATCCTCGGTGGTCGAACCGCTGGATACGATCCGTGTGCCCCATTTGGCACCATTGTCCCGAAAACCCGCCACAGGAGATATAAGTTCCGACCTCGGACTCCACCCCCACTTTCCTAAAATCCTTGGCACACCCCCTTTTCGCACTTCCAGGCCCCCATCCTACTCCGATCAGGAAGTCGCGTTGGGCGTGAGGTTGGGTGTCACACCCCTGTCTCAGGGACCTCGATACCGTGAATGAGTCTGAGGTAAAACTGTTGGCTGTTTGGGAGCCATGGTATAGGGCGTTCACCCATTTTCCTGAAATAGGTGCCCAACCCTATTCTCTCTAGGACCGTTTGTACGAACTTCCAATTAACCTGATCAAGCTTTCTCGAAGTCAATTAATATAATGGTTGTGTTGCTCCTTGTATAGTTCATCATATCTATAGCTTGGGAGATAACCATAACATTATCTAATACCAGTCTGGCTGGAATAAAACCCGACTGGTCGGGATTAACTAGTCTAATCATGAAGGGTGACAACCAACTTTGCCCAGGATTTTGCCTGCCACATTAAGGAGAGAGATTGGACGGTAATTCCGGATATCTGATCTCTCCCCTTTCTTATAAAGAAGAGTAATTAGGCCCTATGTGGTATGTTCACTCAACTTGTTACCACTCAATACATTATTAAATACCCTGAGTAGATACGGGTCGATCAATGACCATAATTTATCAAAGAATTCGACCGGAAGACCATCCGGTCCAAGGCATTTGCCTCTGCCCATACTCTTCATTGCTGAAGTCAGTTCTGAGAGAGTGATGGGTTGGTCCAAGGTCTCTTCTTCTGTAGCAGACATCAGTCTTCGGGTTGATTCCCAGAGCATCCATTTCCGAAGGGACCAGTGGATCGAAAGGGCCTTTCTCTGTAGTTAATAATTTTTCGTAAAAAAAATTAACATAGCCGCAGATTGTTAAAGAGTCCCTAGCGAAGGGGGCAGAAGGATTGAAAGGATGTAACAGTTCCGTGATTGCGCAACTCCCTTCCTGCCGTATCATGAATGTCTTGTTGTTCATCTGATCCTTGGATAAGATGGAGTCTATCTGATGGAATCTAGGCCAAGACTCATGTCTTCTTATTTCTATGTCCTGCCATTCGTTTATCCATTGTGATCTCCTGAGTGCCAGTAATCACATAAGAAGGAGTTAACTCCCATTTTACTTTCGGCCATTTCGATATTCCTTCTCAACTTTATTATATTATATCTCCTGTTTACTGCTTTGAATATGGAAATGGTTTGGAGAAAGGCGGACATCAAGTGTATGCCTTTATCTAACCAATCCTCCGGGTCCGGGTACAAACCTCTTGAACTGCGCCACTCCTCCCAGGAGTGAACTCACTCCACTATGTTCGGGTCCTCCATTAACTCCATGTTTAGTTTGAACATGCCGTGACCTTTTTCGACTTTCGCTCCGATGGTGATTATTAGAGAGACCGGTTTGTGGTCGGACAAGGGGTCGAAGATAATTTCAGACTTGGACACCGAAGGGATAACCTGGTCGTTAACTAGGATAGCATCAAGTCTACGACTGACAACTGGGAGTTCAGGGTCGGAGCTAGATGGGATCCATGTATAAGTTTTGTCGGTTGGGTGCTGGCTACGAAATGGATCGTAAAGTCCGCATTCCAGCATTAGTTCGTTGATTTTTGGTATTTGGTATAGGAGAGCCACAATTTTCAGTATATTAGGATTGATTGAGTAGAGTGTCCTACCTTTGCCAGGCTCAATGACTACCCTTGGGGCGAGGTCCCACTAGCAAAGAGGTTTGGATAAATATGTTGAATTTGGACGTGTTTTAAGCAGAGATGCAGAAAAGCAGTTCAATCTCGATTTTCTGCACCTCTCCACCCCCTCACACGAGAGGAGTCGTGGAAGTGGTACTATCGTGGGACGGAATAGAGTGCATATGTAGTGTCACAATTGCCCCGTCTCAGCTAACCGCAGCCAGTTGAAGGCCACTCTGCCACGATAGATAGTGAGAGCCCATAACCGTCAAGATCCATCTGGATCTTGTTCCCTATATGTGGATCCAGAGTCGACTGCCGCATCAGCACTATGGATGTGGAGGCGGGGACCTTACTAACACTACATCCACCTGTTTGATAAGCGTCGTCCACACCTCTGACACCTTCTCCACGGGGTAACACGTCCTCAAAACCCGTAGGATGAGTGTCGTCACGTGCCCTACCACCGCGCCGATGGTCAGGATTCAAATCGCCCGCCAATCTGATTGTCCCCCCACCGACATCGCCACCATCCGCTCCTCTACCCCACAAGGGTGCCCCAGGCTGTGACTGCGCTGCTTCTCCACCCCCCTCCGCCTCCATGTACTGATGGAGGTCGTCTGCAGCCATATCACCCTCTAACCTCTCCGCGTACTCCGAAGCGAGACGCTGCGGGATGGCATCCTTAAGGAATGCCCCTGCACTTTGCAACTTGTACAAAATCTCTGCACTCCGCCGCGGGTAGTGTGTCTTCTGCTTCGTGAAGTGCTCAACTCCACAAGACCTAGAACCGGTGAAAACCCCCTGGCATAGGCGGCAACGGACAAAGGAGTTGCCCCGCCTTCCTTCACCCAGTCCTGGCCCCTCTCAACCCACTCCCACACTACATGACCGCGCCTCAAATCGTCTCTCTTGTGCTTGGGTGCAGGCTCAAATGGTGGTAGCGGGGCCCCTCTACGCCGTGTACTGTCGTATGCCATAGCTCGCAAAGGTCCCGTACTCCGCAGAGCGACGACTGGTCTGCGTCTGATGCATGGAAAAAAAAAAAAAAAAAAAAGGGCAAACAATTACAAATGGAATCATATAAGGATGAAATGTTTGTTGATTCAGTAATGTAATGTTAGTTCCTTAAACTTTCTTTATCATTTCCCCCTCCATCTCCTACTCCGGCCTCCATATCCTCTTCCTCCATGTCCTCCACCTCCATCTCTTGGTCCTCCATGTACCCCACCATCCACTCCTCCTCCATGTCCTCCTCCACCATCTACTCCTCCATGTCCTCCATGCTCCTCCACCATCTACTCCTCCTCCATGTCCTCCACCATCTACTCCTCCTCCATGTCGTCCCCCACCATCTACTCCTCCTGCATGTCCTCCACCATCTACTCCTCCTCCATGTCCTCCTCCACCGTCTTCTCCTCCTCCATGTCCTCCATGCTCCTCCACCATCCACTCCTCCTCCATGTCCTCCACCATCTACTCCTCCTCCATGTACTCCATCTTTTTCTACACGTCCTCTATCTCCTCCTCCATCTCTTCCTCCTTCATCTTGTCCTCCATCTCCTACCCCTCCTCCTCCATGTTCTCCTTTTCCTTCCCTTACTCTTCCTCGTGTATGTTGTCCTCTTCCTCTGTCTCCTCCTCCAACTCCTCGTGCATCTCCTCCTCCTCCATCTTCTCCTCCCGCATCTACGTCTCTTGCATCTCCTACTCCTCCATTTTCTCCTCCTGTTCCAACCCCTACCCCACCTCATGTATCTCCTTCATCTCTTCCTCCACCATCTTCTCCATGGAGGAGATACAGGAGGTGGGGTAGGGGATGGAGCAGGAGGAGGAAATGGAGGAGGAGTAGGAGATGTAGGAGAAGTAGATGCGGGAGGAGAAGATGGAGGAGGAGGAGATGAACGAGGAGTTGGAGGAGGAGACAGAGGAAGAGGACAACATACATGAGGAAGAGTAAGGGAAGGAGGAGGAGAAAATGGAGGAGGAGGGGTAGGAGATGGAGGAACAGGACCTCGTCCATCCCCTACTCCTCCTCTATCTCGTCCTCTTCCTCTCTCTCGACCCTTATCTCCTCCTCCATCTCCTCCACGTCCTCCATCTTCTCCTCCCCCATCTTGTTCTTGTCAGTTCCGTACCCCTGTTCACCGTTCACGGCCCTGGTGAACGCGGGCCGGTCACCGGTCACAAAAAATGTGACCGGTCGTAGTTAGGAGTTCACGCAGAGCAGGAACTCCGTTTTTTTTTTTTGTGGCTGGTAGGGTTTTTTTCTTTGCATAGCTCTGTGGTCCATGTCAATAGGCACCTGCCCAATTTTTAAAAAAAAAAAATTCAATCGGAATATATTTTTTTTATTTTATTGAGAAACAAATTTAAAAAATCAAAAATAAATCGACTTCGGCTGTGTTAGGCATAGCTTTCATCGGCTGTACCCCCATTCTGAGGGTGTTTTGGGGACCTAAAAAATACAGAAACTGATGACATCATTACATTGCGCCAGCGCAATACAACCAAAGAAAAAAAAAAAAAAAAAAAAAAGGTTGGGCCTCATTTCCCGCCAGGAGGGTTGGCCCTTGCCAGGCTGTTTCCATTTCGTGGTGCCATATAGCACCGACCACAACGGAGACCATCATTCGTTCAATTTCGTTGGCCACTCATATATGAGAGAGAGAGAGAGAGAGAGAGAGAGATTGTATGTGGGGTGTTACCGACACCCCACAAATTTTTTGTTTTTTTTTCTGCTTCTTGGCGCTTCTCTGCCAGGGCCCTGCGCCAACCCCCCCCCCCCCCCCTGACCCCCCCCCTTTTTTTTTTTTTTTTTTTTAAACCCCCCCCCCCCCTTTTTTTTTTTTTTTTTTTTTTTTTTTTTTTTTTTTTTTTTTTTTTTTTTTTTTTTAGATTTGAACGCACGGGGGTGTAGAAGAGCCCCCCACCACCCCCCTTCCGCCCCGATCCCAACCATACTGCCATCCATGTGGGCGAAAAACCCGTGAATGGCCGCCGTGAACGGCCATTCACGGATTTTGGCCCCGGTGACTGGCCGGTCACGTTCACAGGACCGACACTAGTTCTCGTACATCTCTTACCCCTCCAGCTTGACCTCCTGCATCTCCTCCTCCCCTATCGCGTCTAGATCCATCTCCTCCCCCCCCTATCTCAAGGGCGGGCGGGTGATTGATTGATTGATTGATTGATTGGAGCCGGGTGATGGCAGAGGAGGAGGTGGGCGGAAGAAGAACAAGAAGAAGAACAAAAAGAAGAAGAAGTAGATTGATTGATTGATTGATTGATTGATTGATTGATTGATTGATTGATTGATTGATTGATTGATTGATTGATTGGTTGATTGGGGGCGGTTGATGGAGGAGGATGCGGGTAGGACGCCCCATTCAATCAATCAATCAGTCAATCAATCAATCAATCAATCAATCAATCAATCAATCAATCAATCCATCAATCCATCGATCTCGACGGATCATTTCGTTGAAGATCCATTGACATCGACGGATCTTCAACGAAATGATTTATCTAGAGCAACGGATTGATTGATTGATTGATTGATTGGAGGCGGGTAATGGCGGAGGAGGCGGTAAGACCTATGAATCCCCCGCGGTCGTGGTCACCGCGGGCATGACCGCTGTCCGCGGTCAAGGAAAAAAAAAATAAAAAAAAATCAGACAAATCTGAAAACAATATATGTTATGCCTAAACATAAACTGAACAACTTTTGCCTTGGGATCATATAAAAAATCGTTATCAAATTTGAGATTAAAAAAAAACAAAATCCTTTATTTTTCTTACTAAAATAATAAAGTGAAGAACTTTTGCTTGAGGGATTTCTGTTTTTCATTTTTTTTAAAATCCAAAACGAGGTCAAAAAATAAAACTAAAAATATACGGTTGAAGAGCACAAAAACACCTACAACCCCATATGTTTTTTTTTTTTTTGGCCTATTATCCTAGGGATTAAAAATGTCGGGGTTTTCCAACCGCAGCCCTCGCCCGCAGCCGACCTCGGCAGTCGGGATCCCGACCGCGGACCGAGATTGACCCCGGGGTCATAACCGCAGGGGATTCATAGGGTATGACGCATCATTCAATCAATCAATCAATGAATCAATGAATCAATCAATCAATCAATCCGTTGATCTCGACGGACCATTTCATTCAAGATCGGTCGACGGATGTTAAGCGAAATGATCCGTCGAGATAGATAGATTGATAGATTGATAGATAGATAGATAAATTGATTGATAGATAGATAGGTTGATTGATTGATTGATTGATTGATTGATTGATTGATTGATTGATTGATTGATTGATTGATTGACTGATTGATTGACTGATTGACTGATTGATTGATTGATTGATTGATTGATTGATTGATTGATTGATTGATTGACTGGGCTATAATCCGCGACCCTAGTGGCCCTGGCTACCCAGATACGGACAATACTCAATACTACATATCCCCGTGTGAAAAGTGTTGGCGACACTAGGCATACCGAGGCTCCGAAATCGCTCGGCGAGCACGACCCGAAGTCGAGCGGCGCTGACAATTGGACGAACCGCGCGACCAACCGCGAAGGCGAAACCAGAGGAGATGGTGATTCTCATTTTCAGGCTTGAAAATTAAGTTCGTTGGCGGGGGCAATGTTGTTGGGATTTTGTTTGAGAATGCAAGAGTGTTTAGATCTGTAGGTAATGTCATTGTGGAGAAGTACCCCGGGATCTTTAATCTAGGACGCACTGCGCATGCCACCTGCCTTATGTTGCACGACGTCTGTGGCTTTCCTTCGTGCACAAACCACGAAAGGTGGCCTGCCTGCCTTCTTATGAAAATTAAAGCGCTATGTACGACCTGCACCTACCCTCTTGCACTTTTACCCCCGGAACTTGCCACAGGAGATCTCAGTTCGGACTTGGGACTCCACCCCCACTTTCCTAAAATCCTTGGCACAACCCCTTCTCGCACTTCCGGGCCCCCATCCCACTCCGATCAGGAAGTCGCGTTGGGCGTGAGGTTGGGCATCACAAGTCTAGGAAGGTACGTTCTAGGATTAGGATCTGCACCTTACTGCGGGGCCGGAACGGGCTCCGGGGATATACGAGGGAGCAGAGGATCCCCAACTCTCTACCATGACACAACAGAAAAACGATTCACATACTACCACTACACAGTAGATAGATTCAGTCCATAACTCATGACTAAGGGTTGGCCATCCTCCTAGTACATAGCACAGGGTTGAGGCTGGCATAGCATTTCCTTAGTACGGGATGTCGGAGTGTCAGGACATACTGCACCTTAGCGTGGGGACGGAACGGGCTCCAGGGACACACGAGGGAACGGAGGACTCTCAGCTATCTATCATCACCACGTCGGACCCTTTCTGAGAGGGTTTTTCATGGGCCCTACTGGCCCACCCGGCCGACATGGGATGACTATACCCCATTCCTTTTCCCTGGGGGCGTAGTACTGACCCGATTTTTATCGGGCACCCGAAACCAAGGAGGTTTCCGTGTGGGCTTTTACCACCAAGAGACCGGGCTCTACGCTCCAGGGCAAGGTCCCACTCGCAGGGATTAAGAGATTCTAGCCGTTGATCTTTGCTATCTAAGGTCAATATGGCTTAATTCGTGTAAGTGGGATCTAGCCCCCGGGTGGGGCAAGATAGTCCCCCTGATTTGGTGACTGTTGACGTACTTTGCCTTGGGCATTACGCCCTGATAATAAAAGAGCAATTTCAGCAAAAAAGAAGCAAAAGACAAATCTGTCCATGATGTCTTCCTAATGTTACAGCGTACTCACACTAGGACTTTTCTTAATGTATCTGGCCACAATTAGGCAGAAACTTGATGCATCTAAGTTGATCTAACTGCAATCACGTCCAGATTTGAGTGGAAAAAGTTCCAGTGCGAGCCCTTGGAAGCACGGGACACGAAACGAAAAACGAAACGAGTGCATCTTCCTACAGAAAATGGCGAGGTTCGTTGGTTTGCTATAAATAGTAACGAGTGTATTTTGCCACCTTTCATGGGCAGATGCATTCGTTTCGTTTTCATTTCATGTGTGGTGCGGCGAGACTCTAAGGGCTACATGGCACCCTAGGCCGCGGCCGCAGGATCCTAGTTCGCGATCGACCTCCTACACCGCAGGCCCACGGTCGAGGCCGCGCGCGACCACCCCTCACCCAGGCGGGGGCGCGCGCGCTCGGCCTGCGCACGTCAGCCGCTATAGGCCTATGCAAAAAAAAAAAAAAATCAAAATTTCGGGGGGGCGATTTTTTATGTGTGAAAAAAAATATATATATATATATATATATATATATATATATATATATATATCGTCAAATAGATATATATATATCGATTGATTGTTTGATTGATTGATTGATTGATTGATTGATTGATTGATTGATTGATTGGTTGATTGGTTGATTGATTGATTGATTGATTGATTGATTGGTTGATTGATTGATTGATTG